GAATTCCTATCGTAATCTGTTTCTGGTTCACTAGTAAATCTGTGCAACACTTTTGTACAACAAAAACGTCATAACTCAGTATAAATTATGTACTCACAGACTGACGTTTTTTAGGCAATAGCATTGTCTCAGTGTACCCTAGTCCAGAACTGGACCCTCTTGTAAAAGTTAAAAATCCAAAGCGCGCACTACAGAAAATTGAGAAAAGTGGGACCCTCTTTCATCGTGACCGTTGAGAACGCTGATTCAAAATAATAGTTTTCAACTCCGTGCGCGCAAGGATAAAAGAGGGTCCAGTTCTGGACTAAGTGTACCAAGGAACAAAGATATTGAATGATGATGACGGGTTATGGTCAGAATGACAATAAATCTAGTATAAAAAGTATATCAAGATGGTTTGTCCATACCTCTGCTAAATCTTCAACTTCTTTTTGGAGTAAGCCTGCTGTGTGCCTAACAAGTGACCACGCCTTGTATTCACATGCCTAATAAATAATTATACATTACATATGAATTGATAATACATATAAATTGTAATGAATATGTTTACTTAGTTTTTACTTTGAAAAGAAATTTCACAGTGCTTTATGTTAATAGGGTCTCTGGACAGGATATAATTTATTTCATACCTTTTCATAAAGTTCTTCTAATAGTTTTTCAATTGTTGTTCCTTCTGCACCAAACAGATGAGTATCGAAGTCTGGACCCCTACAATATTATGATARAAAGACTAAATTAAATGGGCCAAATGAATGAATATGAATGTTATAGGGATTCTATCAATCTTCTGAATATCACAACATTTTGCAGACTGTTTACATAAGTTATATAGCTTTCATTCATCAGATCTTTAATTTGCCACTCAAACTTGCGATGAAATTGTTAGAGCAACAACAACAACAAAAAAAAACTGAGAGCAAAGTGGGACTGATTAGAGTAATAGAATAGGCATAATTAGACTCTAGTAGGCAGAGTTTTTTCTGACATATAACATAATTATATTATAAAAGATGTCTAAGGTCCTGTTCATATTTTGACCATGTGATGTTATTTGTGATAGGGCTGTAATAAAATTCACCAATTCAACTAGTGACATACTTAGTCTTATAAAGAAAATGCATAATGTCAGCCTGGTCATAGATATCAGAAGATTCTTCAAGCTCTTTGATGTACTGTTTAGTTTCAGAGTCAACAAGCAACGACAGGGTTCTTGATCTTGTTGGTGACCAGCCATTAGCAACCCTTTCCTCAAATGTTTCTTTTCTAGCTGTAAAAATAAACGAATCGGATACAATTATTATAAATTAAAATACAATTACCAGTGTGGTCAAGATMCTGCTTTAAGGTAGGTCTGGAGTGTTATCCAAGGAGCTTGAACAAGTGCACAGGTACTTAACCTATCATAAAATGGCCTTTGAATATTATTGAGCTTAATTATAGGAACAACCTGTAAACATTGTTACAATTTGGCTGACTAACAGTAATGACCTTGGCAACACATCATTACTATGACTGGTTCAATCTAAAGAAAAGCTGAAACTAAACGTCTTCATTGCTTGTAGCCCTAGTTGGATAACACTCCCAARCCACCTTAAAACAATCCATCTTTCYCTTATCCAAGATACCATTCTGGTACCCACCACTTCCATGCAAGTGGAGTCCCTCTTGTTGTAGTTCCCAACAAGTAGTTTTGGGAACTACAAGGAGAGACTCTGGTAGCAGAGAAATCCAGATCCTCCTCACTCTCAAATGAAGGCTATGTGGAGAAGCCAGTGTAAAAGCCTGAATCTGCTAGTTTCCATGTCAATTTTGATAGCCAATTCATAAAGCTTTTGCACCTATTTTGGGTTTAAATTAGCCAATCAGGTGTCTTGAAATCACAGCATTGCCGAAATCTGATAAGGAGCAAGGAAGGTCTGGATTCAAGGATTTCCAAAAGACCACACATCAAAACTGTATAATAATTTGTAGCTGTTCCATATGCAGAATCTCATYTGTTTGGAGTTTGTTGCAAAATGATATGATAAATGCAGAGAAATTAAAATTATAATACTTCAGGTACATGTTTGAAATGTAAGCTACATTCATTGACTTAAGCCAAAAATAATGTAAATGTGAGATTCTGCATAAAATGAAACAATACATAAAAAACACAAAGGATTGAATATATAGAAAATTGAAGCTTTGAAGAGAAACAAAGTTATCATAGAGCTTCTAAAGTGAGATAATGCATTCTTATAGGAACCTTAAAGTCAGAACAGAACATGCATGTTAATCATGCATCCATCAATAATAAAATTATTTTGCAATTATATGCATTCAATTAACTCAAGGTTATAAAACTACAAGATGCACCAGTCTTGTCTTTCTACAAATGCCAATGTTTTCATTCAAGAGTGMGAAAATAATTATTATGAATTTTATCATGCCTTTAACATCTACAATTCACCCGTGAATCAATGTACTTTGTTAAAATGCCAATTAGCTACCAGACGACTATGTGAAATAACTACTTTTCACTTGATTCATCCTTTAAATGTTGGCCAAGGGTAACACATTTTGTTTCCACACTTTTCTGGTATATATCCTTGCTGCCTTACATTAAAATCATTCATTTCAGTTAGTAGTGGACTGTCAGATGCTGACCTTATACATTGCTGTTGACTTGCCACAAGTAGGACTACATTTGACCCACAAAATAAGAGATTTGTTTTGAAACATTTAAACAAAAAGTAGAATGATCAGTCTCATTCAATGCTCTACAGATGAATCAAAGAAAACCCCAGATTGCAATAATTTACTACCTGCACTACATGTACAGGAAATAAATGCAGGTCTCCATGATGACCATTTTCAAATTGAAACATTAAAAGAAAAATTAAAACCAATAACGTTTAACTGTTTTGTAATATTTCATGCAATTTACTGCATGCAGAAATTGAAAAAAAACCTGAGACACTTTTTTGATTTTTGTGCCTGCACACACAAGTAGAATGGATTAGTTTTGTTAGGATTCCACACAAAATACCTGGTGTAACCTCAATGGATGTTTCAAATGTACTTGATGTGGCAGCCATGCTGTTCAAATGAGGCCCTGTTGCCAATTTAAATATCATAAACAAGCAAAACATGTAATATATTACTCGACAATGTACTGTTAAAACCCTTTAACTTCATTACATGATATGAAGTCATGTATATGCTAACCATTTGTAAATCTTGTGCGTGTTGAGAGAGTGTTTGGGGTAAGTAATAAAAGTACTGTTTAAAACCCACAAAACGATACGTCATGTTAAAATTATTTAGTTATTGGTCATTATACTAGCAACGGAAATKCATTTACAGAAAAGAACACATCAAGCAATACTTTGCATGAAGCACTTACTACAATCATGTAGGTAGATATTTAATTAATTGGTATCATAATAATAAGATAAACAATTAATAATAATAATGATGATAATAACTAGATAAGATTAAAATAATATTCAAATGAATGGAAAACAATGGAACATGGAAACACCTGAACAAATCAGTTGATATTCAACAACAACAACAACAACAAAATACAATAACTAAACCTTTTAGGTTATTTAAATAAATGAAATATGTAAGTCAATCCTGCATCTAGTCACACCTATTGGGGGCCCTCACATCCTCAAATTTACAAACTAAGGTCAAGGACAAACTTAAATATAAACATCTATAAACATATTAAAACAAATTTATAGCAATAATGCATAAGCTTACGCGAGGGAGTATAATCATTTATGATGCAATGCAATTCATAGGTGACAATACTGACACCATATATCAATAACAAACTTACATGGTACACCCATGGACATATTGTCTTTATCACAGTAAATAGAAATACTTCTACTTCTCTTGATAGCACCAGATACATCAGAAATCCTTCCTGTACTTCTAGCTTCTGGGGAGCCTCCAACAAATGARGGTGTCTAGTAAATAACAACAATGTTYAAGTCAATGTAAAATAMAAATWAATCTATTTGTTCCTTGATTGAATTGGATTTTTGATYATAAAAATCCTGCMWCAGAACTTAGGAACAGTATAAACTCATTTGCAACCTCTGCCTTACCGGACCAGTGCAACCAATGCTTGGCTAGCTTAGASCATTGWAGTTACATTTGAAAGAGTAGGATCATCATGACTGCCAATTAGTTTAGATAAGTGTAATGATKATAAACTTACTCGTTCTCTGCTTACTGAGTCAGACCTTTTCAGAATATCTTTGGATGTGGATAACCTTTTTTGCATACTTCTAATACCTGAAAATTGGAAAAAATAACCCATTCTCAAATTTTGGTTCAATACTCTGAATTATATATTTATTAGATTTTAAATAACCATTGCTACGCATTAAATAACCATTGCTACGTTTCTCCTTCCTGGCCTCTTCAGTTCTTAATTTTAAGAATGATATGATATGAATTTAATGATTAAGAACTAAAGAGGCCGGAAAGGCGAAACAATTTCTTAATACTACTACCACACTTGCCTCAATGCGTAGCAATGGTTATATAATATCTAATATCTAATATTATCTACAATTCAGAATGTCGATTTCAAACTTTCAATTTGTAAAAATAAAAGGTCTGGCTAAGACTAAGTTTTATAAAATTTTGTTTAAACTCACCAAACAAAACAACTGAAAACAAGGGAAATACTTAATATCAGATTAAGTCTTTTGTGAAAAATCCTTGCTTGCTTATATCCCCATAAAGATCAAAAGCCAAAACTGTATGTTTGCTATAAATAATTGCTTATTCAAATAATAAAATTTAACTGGTTAATAAATAAGTACCTTGTTCCCCATAGTCTCTCACAAAATGAAGAGTTGTCACACAAGACGTACTGAGAAAGTCTGAGAGAAAACCCAGCCGTACTCTCACTCCAGATATGTATCCACCTTTTAGCTTCAGAATAAGTTTAGCAATACAGGATGACTGGGAATCCTCTGAAAACAAATGGAAAGACACAAAATGTACATACAATTATTGYTATATAATAATTATAACTCATTTTCAACTTCATAAAAGTAAGCTCCAATCTTTTTAATACTACATTGTACTGGCAACAATAAATCGGATATGAAAATAGCAATAGACAAAAATAAATTATTACCCATCATGGAGTTTGTGACTAGAAGTGTCAAAGTTGGTCTCCCTAAAAGCCTCCAGTTTGCACCAAGGTATCCTACCAAGGATTTTAATCGGTCTGCCAGAAACTCATTGTCCAGGCACAGGTAAAACTGATGGTAGTCCAGGAACTGAAATACATGAGATGTTAGAGTTTAGAACTCAACCTAAAATTAACATAGCATTACTTCCGATAGGTTCATGCGATAACAGGCATGTATTTGTTGATGTAGCTGCTGACTGAGTTAATTTCATTTCCTTCTTGATTGGGTGTAGTACTTTCATAGGTTTTCTTTCTTCAAACATCTTATAAGTACAAGACTGTAGTCAAGACTGGATGTTACTAGAAGACCTTGAAAGAAAAACCATTTAATCTCATGGATGCTAAATTGCCATATTGTACCTGTGGAGTGAATGCAAACAGYCCAGTTCCCATTCTGTAGAGAGTACTTGATGCTAGAGCACCAATGTTGTAGATTGGTCTGAAAGAAATGGTGTCTTATTACAAACATTGCCCACAAGAACATCTATTGTATTATTATCATGAGAAACTAATTCATACTCACCTTCCAGTTAAATTAAGATCTGTACACTTTCCTGAAAGGTATAACACAAAGGATTACATTAGACATGAATGTATGGATGATTTGAAACAATGAAAAATATTGATGTACATAGAAAGCTGCATGGAATACAAAACTGAAAATGACAAATGGACAGACAGAAAACAGTGTATGAATCCCTATAACTTCTATATGTCAATAGCTTACAGTGAAAACATACAAGGAAGAAACATCACAAAGGGATAGAAAATTATGAAAGAAAGGAGAGGACAGCTGTTATGGTGGCAATAGGAAAGGAGTGTGGATGGAGGGTAGTGTCCAGGAWGAAGATTAATGCAAAAAACAAAGAGAAGACCAAAAATAAATAATAAAGACAGATTACTATATTTTGCCTACCTAATTGTTGATACGTCATTCCTAGGACATGAGCAGGGAGTACTTCAATATTTTCAACATGGCTGACAAGCTGAACAGGCACATCTAGTCCACAAAGTAGTTGAGAAACAATTTCATCTTCTGCTARCAGAGCAACTGTTGAAACAATAATTTCAGGGTTAAGACCCATGCATGGAGGGTATAATTCAGATATTTTTTGAACTCTTCTGAACTAAGCTATACTCTTTAATTTTTTGTCAGGATTGTTTACAGTGTAGCGTAAGCAATGGCATGAAATACCTCTGTTAAAGTACTGGAGACTTTTTTAGTCATTGCTATTACCTTGAACCACAACATCAGGTCTGTTCTCAGTTGAATGTCTTCTATTAAGTGGGTCTAGTTCACCAATAGCTATGAATTTCTTTTGATCAAAAAATCAATTAATGTTTAGACAGGCCAACAATAATATTATCCCCCTCAATATTCATCTCACCTCCTGTAGAAGACTAGCAACTATRTAAAGAGACTGAGACCACATATGAGGTGCAAACTCTCCTCTAGTTCTCTCAACACTGTGAGGATTTGACTTTTCTTCAGCAACCTAATGATTGCAATTATATTAATTCATATTAATTAGTTTTGCCATCGGTAAATAAATAGATATGTGAAGTGAAGTGTTGTCATTTTCTAATTCATCCTCAACAGTAGCCTCCTCCACAGACATCCATTCATAATGCCATTTTGGGATCCCTGTGGTATCCTCTTGGTAAACCCATAGACCCCATATAATTATGGTCTTATCAGGAAAACAGGATGGAAAAAGCTGGACATAGATCCCTTTGGAAGAGGCTAACTTGACACGACATGATGTACAGTTTTCCTGACAGGATCAGCCAGCAAATAACATTTAAGTGTTCCTGGAAATATAGGAGTTTTTTTTACCTTCTCCCTAGGGACGTAAAAAAGTTCTGGTACAAGAATGAGCCCAGTTTCATCTCTTATTAACAATTCATCCAGAAGATTAGTATATTTCTTGGCCTGAAAACAAACAGCAAAATCATAAAATTATAATTATAAAATATGCAGTCCTGACTYTTCTGTAAACTCTTCTAAATTTTATTCAATTTGTGCAATTACAATAATATTTCATAATCAGTTCATAATTGAACAAAGAAGATTCATGATCTATTGATCAGGAACATTTTTGTGACTGTTGAATAAAGAAGGCTTTTTTAAATTTCAATTTAGGTCTATACACCAAGTCCTAGCTGATGAACGTAATGAAAATTGTAAAATAATACAATCATACTATTTAAAGCCAACAGACTTCAGCCCAGTTCTCATGCGCACAGATGTCTTGCAGACTAAATGTCTGAATGGAATTAATTTATGAAATAAATCAATTAATACAAACTAAAAGCTACCAGACTTTAGTTTAGCTCTCATCCCTGCAGACTCCTTACAGACTTACAGACTGCAGGCTGACCACAAAATATATCAAATACTACAGTGACGTACATGTACATGGTAGCTTAACAACTTTAGGTACTATGTTCATAGATCACTTCCTCATAATATATCAATATGACAGATCTTATATGCATCATACTAGCTTCTTAGTTACAACAATATTTTTTTAATAAAACATTTTCCTGTTCTGAACAATAAATTTACAATTGTCAATAACACAATAAATTATGTGACCTTATAGTGATATATAATATACAAAAATGTCTTCTAAGCATAATTTATCATACTTTTTTAAAGAGGAAGTTTTAGGAGTCAATTATCATATATTTCATACAAAAAAAAAATGAAAAATATAATGTAGAAGAGAGGAAATTTAAGTATCATTTCATGAACACGTACATGTTTTGCAATAATCTTGACTGAATTATTGTCAAAGTCTGTAAAGTGATCAATTGTAGGTGCTAKGTATTGTTTTCAAATATTTAATAAGGAGTACCTGCTACAAAATGATAAATTATTCCATCAAGCAAAATTAATCCCTCCTAAATACAACATTCTTAATGCCATTAGCATTCTCAAACCACAAAACAAACAGAGTTTGTAATTAATCTGGAATAACAGGGCAATAGAGCTACCATACTAGACAGGATTAACCAAAACTGCTTTATAGCATTAATGTGAATAACATCAGATCAGTGTACATTTGGCCATTGGAGTAGAATCAGCTTAAAATGTGGTCTGAACAATAACCACTTGTTTAACACTTGAGGTCTACATCATGAATATTGATAGTATCACATACCAACAATACTAAGCAATATTAAGACTACAGAACAGTGCAAGGACATGAGAGCTACCATCAAGAGGTCCTAGATTATGCCTTCTAGAACAAGTGATCATAATAAAACTTGCCAATGAATAACAATAAGGAAGATAAAATGATCCAGGTGTCATTACCAGTTCTAGATGGTTCAACAAATGGACTTGTACCTGTCACGACTATAACCCCAGCGCACTTTTCTGTATTTCAACTCAACAAGTTAGAGGACATTTTCATGTATCAAAAATGGCCAGACAATTCAAGAATGAGTGTTATTGCCATGGAGTGTAACCTTAATGATCAAGATGTACAGGTTTGTGTTCAATACTATTGATAAATATTATTTGATTTGAGATGGTATGATGAACTGTTGTGCTTTTTTGAAACATAGTTACAGTGCTACAATTATTGCTAGCAAAACTGGGATTTTTTGAAGAACTAAAAAACATCTTTGAATTGAATAAATTGTATCATTTGGAATTCATATACATTATCACAATACTCTTAGTATACAGATAAACTAAGTTGCTATTGTACAAAAGTAGTTCTCATAAGAGTATTGATGTGTAATATTCAGTAATTTTATGCTAACAATACTTAAAAGTATTCAGCAACTGACACATGTGCTTTAATGGAAGGATTTAGTTACCACAAAAATGCATTACATGGTTGTTGCTTATAATAAGCTTTTATGTCAGGAACAATAGAATTTAATGAAGCATGAATTGTACAAATTACATTATATTGTACATCCAAATGATTATAAATGTTCTGAAAATTCACTGAAAATTTTCATTTTCATTTTTCCAGGACTGGTTTTTTGCAAGAAGAGTTGAATGGATAACAAGAGTAATGGAATTAATRGTAGAAACCAAAAAATCTACATGAAAATATATTATATATTTAACCCACAGTAATCAAAACAATCAGATGTCATCAGTTGTTTAGAGTCCTTCACTCTTATACACTACAAAATGAAAGCATATTGAAAACAAAGGCTGCCAAGACTTGAAAGGCCAAGGAAAACAAAGACTGCCAAGAGGAAACCCAACAGAAAGTTTTCTCATTCTAAGTATATTTATTTAATATATGGATAGCTTTGAACATTTATAGATCAGGATTTTTTTATACATATACATAAATTACATGTATTACTTATTCATATTAGGACTGAACTAGTTGTTTTGTACATTTAGAAATCATTCACAATTCTAGCCTTCTACAGAATCAATCAGGAAAGTTATTTCTATGACAGCTTAGAGATCCATGTACTGGTAACTGCTGTATTATTTAAAACTACTAGAACTACAACTTTTGTACAGGGGAGTTTTTCATCAATGATGTTGAATGTCAAATATCATGATAATATAATAACTGGTTTAATATGATAAATATTAATTTTATAGGTGACTCTTGGTGTTTTTGATATCAAAATATTATAATCATTCACAAATGTTCAAACAGCAAAGCTTACTTAAATTAAAATTTAAAATACTACTAAATACAAAATAATAATCAAGATATACAAATACTGCACACAAACTACAAATTACAAATCATACATAATGATTGTATAATTATCATCAGAAATTTATGTTTAATTATATTTACTGAAATACATTATTTTGCAGAGAGCTAATAATTACCAATTGATTTTTCTTATAATTTCAAGAGCAAGTCTTTCAAAAGAGTATATTGTACTTAAATAATATTATCAAGTACCCTTTTTCTTTCAGTTTCTTCTTCTTATTTTTTTATATGAGATATTTTTATCATAATTGTGTATACTGTTAAAAATAGATTATTGACCTGATACATCACATTTAAAACCGATTCTACTTGACTTGTATCTATSGCATATCTTGTATCTATTGGTTACTCTACATTCACATCTTCTAAATAATTTACAACAGATCAAGTCTAACTGAAGTACAGACACTTAATTACTTCTTGTTTAATGAAACATCATTTTAAGTGAGATACCCTCCTTATATTGATAAGCTTTATATTACCTAATTCAGAGGGATGGGCTTATCACTAAAGCGTGTGAAGTAAACAGWCTTTTATAAACTATTCGAAGTTAGATATTTTGTGCTGACTAAAGTAATTACTTCTGTCACCAAAAATATTCTGAGCTACTATACATGAAGTTCTATGGACCACATTCTGGGTATAATATTGTGAAAAGACTATGAGCACTATATATTACCGTTCTTTGTTCTATATATATAAAAATCAATATTCAGCAAATACTATAAAACAAATAAACTGTCAGGTTGTCTAAAGTATACATCAGATAATAAATATAATTGTTAATAAAGGATGTATTGCTGAAGRATGCTGAAGATAAATGATATAGAAGTTACGTACAACAAGATGCAATTTGTATCCATGGGAACACTAATGTGCTCATAAACATTAGCCACAAGTCCCTGATCATTTTTGAATTTTAAAAATTCTCATAAATCTTAAATAGACAAAAAAATGTAAAGAAATTTTGTTGTGATTTTAATTTTATAAATTCAATGTTTTCAATTTAACCTTTAGTTTCTTCATTATYATCATTAGCATCTAGACTGATGAATCATCATCCCATATTCTTAAATCCATTATATAATCAGATATTTTATAGCAAAATCTGATTAAAAGGATATACTAACCTGCTCTGGTCTGTCTAAATAAAGACCATCAAGAATAAGGTAGCAATAAAACAATGGCCATTCACACTCCAGGTGCTGGAATATTTCAAGCTCCGCTGGTTCATAATGAAGACGATGAGGATCCTACATATGGAAATGATCTATAACTTACTATTTAACTTATTTAGAACATAAGCTCTGATTGGTTAAAACTGAATCAACCAAATATTTTCCAATCAAAATTTACCAATTACAAGAAATTTTAATAAAGCTGAATGAAAATGTGATGTGGGTCAATCATCATGGAGTTATGTCTATGGAAGTACCAAAGATAAGCAGGGTCTTCAAAAGTTGCTTGCCTTTTTGCTAAATAACAAGTGAATCAATGGCCTAGTGTGATCAGTTTGCAGTTCCCACCCACTAGTCCCTGCCCAAAACTCACTATATATTATATGAGTTTTATTTTCTGATATAAAATCTTACTYCAAAAGAGGGCAATATTCATTTTAACAATCTATAATTGAGTTGTTTACAAAAACATGGTTTTTACCTCAACTGGTGTTTTGTATCCATCTCGAAGAAATCGACATAAACCATATTTACCCTAAATCATGAAAAAAATAATAAATATTTCATAATCACATGATGGTTATGGGTCAGATATCTTCCATTACATAGCTTTACATTTATTATTAGTAAACATGTATCATACATTATTCATTCTGGKAAAATGAGTCAGTAAAGATCATCTCAATAACAAATTTCATAAAATCAGTACAKTCACTATTGAATACATCTCTTGAAWACCCAAATAATAGACTATGACATAAACAGAAAACAGTATCCTTATTATTAAATTACCCTCTCGTGCAGATGTCTCTTATCATTATAATATTATCGATCTGTCAGGGCTTCCTGTCCTGAGCTCTTGAATATACCAGAGCCAGCAGGATAACTAGCCTCCTCCACAGGCAACTCTTTTTTCCTCCTTTGGGCTTCCTTTGTAACGGTCATTTTGGCCGTTAGGGACTAGTGACGAGATAGCCTTTTCTCGCCCCCATTCTCCCTCTTTTGACTCCTCAAAAAGACAGGAAGCCCGTGATTCTTAGTGATGCCTGCGGAGGAGGCTACAGGATACCATGAATAAGGATAATTAAGGATTATTATTATGAATATTACCTGAAGTTCATCAATGATTTCATCTCTTGTTATATCCACTAGTTCTTTATCCTCTACAGCAAAAGCTGGAAAACTGATTACACTTAATAAAGACGCTGCTATTTCCTGGAAAAGATGATGAGCCATTTATGGATAAGTCATTCATGACGACTTCACACCGATCTAAATGTGTCTCCATAAATTAACGATTTACCCCCCGCGAACCGCACGAATAAGCGGTCTGCGGGGGGTGTTTATGTAAATCACTATCAYGTTGCCATGGAACTAACAAATAAAACYTTGCAGAAAGAGTCTCTTCTCAAACCAGTTTTATTAAGTTTATCAATCAATCGTTCTGCAAATTACCGCTTTACAAAATCATTTACGAAGGAGAAGCACTCCGAATTAGAATTCAGAGTCTAATAAGCCATTACACTAAAGTACGATTGAAGAAAAACAAACAAACATATTCGCGTCGTTCTTTGCCATCGGAAAGTTGAGTTTCGACATCGCATTAAACTAGTGTTTTGATGGGAAGCAAAACTAGCGAGTTATCTGATTGTTTCGCTTCCCTTCTATGATCAAAACAAACTAAAATATTCGCGGCGAAATGCCATCGAAAGTTTTTAAACTTAAATGTTTCGACCGACATCATTGTTGACAATCTAGAAGGAGAAAAGTAGCGTTTGATGRGAAGCAAACTAGCGAGTTATCTGAGTGTTTCGTTTCTCTTCTTCGTATTGCTTTCCAAAGTCTTTACCTCTACTCGAGATATATAAAATTACGAAAGAATCAAAACTTTAACAATTCAAATCACCGCTCAAGCGATCAATGAGTCGGTGTTAAACGTTTTTCAAAGATTGTGTTCTCAATTTGGCAAACTTTCCACACGCCGTCTTCATCAAGCGTTTCAGCTCGATAACTCTGTTTTGATGTAATGAAACATATTTGTCGTGAAATTCAATACTTCGATAAAGTCATGTATAAAGTGTCTTGATTTGAATTACGCGCTCGAATTTTACAGCTGTGTTTACACTGTTGACTTGACAACCGTTAGACGATAAAACCGGTTTTATCTCGTTTCTTCGCATTGTGCATGCGCTGAATTTATAATTAGAACTGTTCACAATGACACACTTAGATCGGCGTGAAGTCGTAATGTTCATGTTCAGTCAATGTACAATTAACACGTGACTATTATTATGTTATAAATTAATTACACTGTACCTTTGAGTTTGA